AATATGTCAAAATGCATACTATTGTCATGTATAACTAATTAGAACAGATTAAAAAATTAAAATTAAATTAACAGAATCAAGACAGACAAAAGGATAGAAAATACAGGAAAACACGTCAGAGACAAAGGGAATTAAACAAAAGATTCCAACTAATATAGCTAGAATCCTAATGGAATAAAGGTGAATGAAGGCAAACTTGTACTTGAAAATTAATGAATTTTCTAAAACCAGTAACAAGTATTTTAAATCATTAGGTAATGATGAACATTTTCACACATGATTATGTGCTGACACAATTAGAAATCCATGTTCTAGGAAAATCCACAAGACAGACAACCAAGGTCCATAATACTGCAAGACAAAGAGGTGAAGCACTAATGGAGAGCATCAGGAATTAAGAAACCAACTAATGTTACTCTGTTACTCTACTGGACTGTAATTGGATCCTGATTCAAAGAAATCCACTTGAGGGGAAAAAACAACTGTGATAGCCATTAAACAGGTGGGCTCCTGAACAGTAACTGGGTATAATTAACTAAAGGGTTATTGTTTGTTTGTTTGATTTAGGTATGACAATGATTTGGGGATTATGTTAGAACTAACATTGTTTTAGAGATTTGATGTAGAGGAAATGGAAAAGTAAGTGGAATTTGCTTAAGATAATACAAAAGTGGTAATAATGGGATTATAAATTAAAGAGAATTCAACATGAGTTACCTATCAAACAGGTAATGAATTTATGCAAGTTCATTACATTCTTCTGTATACTTCTGCCCATGTTCAACATCCTTCATAATAAGTTTTATAAAATTATTAGCAAGCCTGCTTTCCTTACAAAACATCAGTCATCTTCAAAATCCAACTTTTATGGTCAGTTTCTAAGATAGTACAGAACTAGCATATCATTATATGACATTTCAATCCACTCTTCAAGGCCTGGTTTAATAAACTTATCAAACATTAATTAAAACCACAGTCATTAAACTGAATTATCCTAAGCCAAACACCAGTAATTTTATATAATAGGAAAAACTTCAGAAATATAGTAAGGCTATTATAACAAGTTGAACTTGATGAAGAATTTTGGAGCCAGGAAACTGATGCAGATTTAATTTATCATTAACTTGTTTCATTTTATTTGATGGTACCCATTGCCGCAGTCTGGCTGGGCATAATTCACGAGCCACTTATTAAGCAGGAACGAACTTAATTTTTAGAATGCACATGCCAAACCACGGGAGCTCTTCAGGAATTCCCTCAGAGCCCAACTGCCACCACCAGCTCTTCCGACTCTCGAGGCTGATTGGCTGGGTCTTGTGAGCAGAGCCAAAAGAATCCCCCAATGAGCAGTTCCGTGGTCTGAAAAGGCAGGGAAACAGCCCAATGAGTGTCACAGCAGAGGAGCCAATCAGCTGGAAGTTTGCTAGGGCCGCTTGGGCTGTGGCTCTCAACAGCCCATTATAGTAAATTTTCAATAGTGCAACTTCAAAATAAACCAGACAAAAATAATGTGTAATTTCATTTTTCATTAACTTAGACTTGACAAATTCCGGAGTAGGTGCAGGTTGAATATCCCTGATGAATATATCAGATTCTGGAATATAAGCATTCCAAATCAAAACTCCAAAATCTGAAATGCTCCAAAGTCAAAAACTTCATGAACACTACATCATGACGCTCAACCTGTATTTTACCATGCCACATGTTTACAACAGTACATTATTTACAGCATCAAGTTGTGTCTGAAACTCTCTTTAAAACAGATCTTAGGGCTGGGGATGTGGCTCAAGCAGTAGCGTGCTCGCCTGGCATGCGTGCGGCCCGGGTTCAATCCTCAGCATCACATACAAACAAAGATGTTGTGTCCGCTGAGAACTAAAAAATAAATATTAAAATTCTCTCTCTCTTAAAAAAAAAAAGTTTTTCCCCTTCCTTAAAAAAAACAAAAAAACAGATCTTAGCACTGCATTTTGAAAGTTTAGAAATTTGCTTATGGGTAGTGGTGATGGGGGAAGTTTAAATGCATTAACTTATAAGTAAACAGAAAAAATAAATAATACCTTTAATGTAGCTTTGACCACTCAGTATTGAAAGGTGGGTGGATACACAAAGATAACATAAAACATAAGCAATCACATTTAAGGATGAAATGTATTTTTAAAAATAATCTGTGATTTTATATATCTTGTATCATAGATACTACAGATTAAAGATTCTATCTACAACAGACACTTTCTGGGAGTTGCTCCATGGGAATTCCAAAGGAATGTGGTAATGTTAATATTCTTTGAAATCTGTATCTACAAATAATTGAATTCAGCATGGAAACCAAAATAAGCCTTTCAAGTACTTAAAATAAATTTTCCAACATCATACTAAGGTGAAAAGTGATTTCTAGTCATGTTTTCATTCCTTTCCAAGTATACACTGTAGAGAAGTTCTCATTACAAGCTTTACATTCAAAATCAAATGTAAGTCATGACCTGATATTTCCTGTTGATAGCTTTAAACTACTCAAGCTTTACTCTCTTACTAAACACTAAGACGACGCTTCTGAGGTAAGTAAGGCAGTCAGCTTGGAACCTTTGTGGAAAACTGATGGTCAAATTTTATCTAACTTAATAATGGAACCTATGGTATTTAACTTCGCTTAAAAAAAAAACAAACCATGATCTATAACTACTTGGCACTAACAAATTAGGAAACTTGCTTCAACTTTTATTATTCTCCTGCACAAAATCTGTCAATGGTTTACCACTGAAAATACATTCAACTCCCTTAATTTGCAATTGGCAGTCTTTCTTGAACTTATTCAACCTTAATTCTTCTAGATATCATGGTAAAAACCACATCCCAGGCATTCTGGACCTCCAGGTCTCCAAACAAGCTTCTTTCCTTCTGATTCCTATTTATACTGTTCCCTTTTCCCAGAATGATAATCCCTGCCTCTCTGCCCATGGGCCCATTATTCCTGATCATCCCTGCCAGAAACAGTTCTTTCTTTCAACACCATTTGGAATGATCTACTCCTGTAATGTTTACTGAAGAGACTTAACTAAAACCCCATAGCTACTCACCAACTGAATACCAAACTCCATAAAGTGGAGAATTGCTATGTGGACAAGTTGCATCGGCATAGATGCTCTTTCTGCTGGCTTTGCCACCAATCATCACTGAGTTTGTTTATTTATGTATGGCAAATGTAGTTTTTCCATAACATGGCACCAGCAGGCTGTAAAGGGGGGGGGTTGAACATGGCTATACTTTTTTTTTTTTTAAAGAGAGAGTGAGAGAGGAGGGAGAGAGAGATAGAGAGAGAATTTTTAATATTTATTTTTTAGTTCTCGGCAGACACAACATCTTTGTTGGTATGTGGTGCTGAGGATCGAACCCGGGCCGCACGCATGCCAGGCGAGCGCGCTACCGCTTGAGCCACATCCCCAGCCCCGATGGCTATACTTTTAAGGCCAAGAAAATTCTATAAACGTGAAATAAACAATATATTTCAGCTATCACCTGACTACAGTGTAAAACAAATGAAAGAAGATATAAGTAGTAAATGACAGCAGGAACAAAGTCTTATTTGAACTGTCCTTGTTTTCCCTTCCCTTCTCTGATCACTGAAGGCTTGTGAATGAGATAAAATACACGCTGTTTTCTTAGAACACTTAAGCTAATTCTCATTTCCTAGAATGTCTCTGCCCAATTCTTTAATTTCCTAAATATAGGTAACAATATCAGGAATTATACTAGTGGGCTATAACACCTGGAATGATACACAGCTAAAATAAATTTGATTTAGGTAATCACATATTAAAACTACTTTCACATACTGAAAATAAAATTCATTATAGGTGAAAGCTATTGAATCAAAGCCTAGTAATACTAGAAAAAAAAACTGAAAAACTTTTAATTTTAATTAAATAACAGCATTGGCAAAAAAATTTGCTACTTTATTCTTATGATGTAATAAAAATTATGTTTTAAAACTTGGGGATATAATACACCAAAGTTATGAGAAAACACATTTGTCTGTAGTCCATATTTTATGAAACAGAATTCAAAACTGTACATTTAAAAAATCTTTAAAGACTAAAATTCATCACATAATTAAATCTATTCTGAAAAGTAAAATAGATACACATTATAAAGTCTGTCCTGTAAATTACAAAAAGAAAACTAATATACACATATTTTGTGTGCTTAAATAACCAATTTAGACTTAACAGCAAACTACAAAAATGACAGATAAAGTATCTGTGAATAGAAAAAAGTATCTGTGAATAGAAAACATTTTTAAAAAGCCAGAGACCCTTAAATAGTTGCTTTTGAATTTTTTAAATCAGTATTGACTTCCAGCCCAACAGAGTAAACTTATTAAAAAACAATTTAAAACCTGGCTTTTAGTTTAGACTCTGCCTGCATTAAGAACACTGTCTACTTGTTTGGTTTCAGATGTGAAATCCAACAGCACAGCCTCATGGACGAGAACTTACTTGCTTCATAACTATTCTATTACTGAATTTCTTATACCAAGCAGAATACATTATAATTTTTGAATTAAAAATTTCAATGCAAACCTTTGAAAACCTCAAAAGCTCTAAACATGATTTTTTTAAGTAGCAAGAAAATTAATTACACACCACAAACACTTGACAGGAGTGACTAGATAAGAAATATTCAATCAGTAACATATACTGTGTTTCAGGTTCTTGATCTAGCACATTCCTATATTATCTTAATTAAACTTCAACAACAACCTAGTTAAGTGGGTACTATCATCATTCCCATCTTACAGATGAAACAACCAGGACCCAAGAAGACTGAGTAATTTGCCATGAGCCAGTATGGCTTACGTGTGTTTTTAAACACTACACTACTTGCTTCTTCAACTGAATGTTACTCTACATTGAATGTAATAAAAATTACATGTATTTCCTATAAGGAAAAGAAAGTTCTAAATAACAGAAGTGAAGGGCTATTTGGAACACCATATCACATTTTAGTAGAAACAGAATTTTATTTTTTGAAACAGAAAAACTAAATATTATTTAAAATATCACAATATTTTTATATATTTGATTTGGAACACCTTGAATGTAATGACCACAGTGTTTAGGTTGGGTTAATGTTTAAAAAAACACAAATATTCTTGGATATCAGTATCAACTTTTAATTTATATGTGAATAAGAGTACTTTGTTGCTTGAAATATAAAAAATACATATTAAAGGGCACTCCCAAATTCTGAAGCTTTATTGTATTCATTCCATACATATATACCTAGAAGTCCTTTTAAATAGCTAGATTCTAAAACTCATTTTTACTATTCAATTTGTATAGTTTATTTAGTCAAGTATATTCCAATCTTCTTTTGTCCATTCCTTGTAGTCAATGTTGTAATAAAATGCCACCTTAGTATCTGCTTGGTCAGACAGAAAACATCCCACAAAGTTAAGGGAGCAAGTGATAAAGGCTGTGAAAAGGAATGACAAAAGATGAGATCTGTCAACTGTCACATCTGTTCTTCCCGGTAGTCCACAGAAAGCAAAGCAGCAGCCATTATGTATGAGTACTAATTGTTCTTTTCCCATTGGCAGTTGTGGCATTTTCTGTACTGTTACTTTTTATGGAGTCTAACAAGTTTCTAATTCTTTCACTCGCAGGCCTTTTATTTTTCTTCTTGGCAAGAGACTTACTATTTGTGATGGATGACAGTAGTAGGGCTGCCAGCCCCCAGGGCTGGTTACTTGATGGAGAAGGTCGATCTTTATCTTCCTCTTGTAAAATCCAAGCACTTTCTCTGGCCAAATCTACAAATTTCTGTAGCTGACTTTGACTTACATTTTTGCTAATGTTGAGAGAAGTTTCAAAAGGGTTCTGAATATGAAGAGGAGAAGAATCGGGTTTGTTTTGTTCTCTTCCCTATAGATTATGATACAGGAGAAAAACATGTATAAGTATATGAAGGGTTTTAATGACAAAAACACATAAAATATTACCATTAACTTCACAGGGTAAAAAATAGATCCCTCTAAGAGAGTTAGGTAGGTATACATGTCATATGAATGTCAATGTGTATACTTCTGTTATCTTTCCCATTTTAGTTTTATGAGTATCTTTAGAGAAAAATAATTAGGTTCATGATCTATGTATGGATGATGATGTCACTGCTCCAATGTCAGGTACCCACACTAGTTCAAAAATAGAAATATATTTAAAATAATGTAAGTCTTTATCTGAAATAACATGAAAGAAAGAGAAATTGTAGAAAATAAGACGAAGATACATGTATCTTGGTAAAAACCTATTACAGTGGTCACAGAAAAATATAAAATTAGAATCTTCAAATGTAAAAATTAGCTTCCCAAGTATGAAATCAAAAAGAAAGAGAGGAACAAAGGATTATTCGTTCTATTACATTCTTGCACTTAAGACCTTACCTCAGAAAAATATAAACCATGAATCACATAAACAGTAGTGAGCCTATCTATTTTTTCCTCCTTCAAATGATACCACAGATATTACATAAATATTCAAAAGTCAAAGATCTGGATTCTCCAAACTTGGCAGCACCTATTTATTCCCTAACTTCTCTCATACGGCTGCACAGTGGGTATCATGCCTGCCTGCCATCTCTGAACCTCAAGTAGAAAAAAAAGAAAAAGAACATATATGTTTGGTGACCTTTTGCTTCTAGATCACATTCCAGAGCTTTCAGTGTCCCTTCTTGTTCTCCTCCTCACACTTTTACTTTAACAAAGTCTCCCAAACAGGATAAGAGAGCGAAAAAAAAAATGACAAAAAAGAGTATGTATGTTTTTGCTTTATGAAGCCAGATCTATACAGAATAAGCCCAGAGCTTTCACAAGCATCCCCTAATTGTAAACACATTTTGCCTAGGCTTCTGCTGCGATTTTCTTTCTTAGAATAAAGTCTATCATTAGAAGAACCACAATCATAAATTCATATACTCTAAATAAATTAACTCCTAAGGGCTCAAGTCAAATCTTGGGACTTCATATTAAATTTGCTGCATGGAAACCCAAATCCAGTTTAACAACAACTGTAAGTAAAATTACCTTTTCCAGAAAACTTTTCAGAATATAATTCCACATTTTAAAGAATATAGTATTAACTCTAAATGATGTCAGAGGTGCCACAGCACTGTGATGGAGGCAAATGCTGAAAGAGCTGCCTTTTGCTCTTCCAGTTAACTAGATGAACAAGTTTAGGTAAGTTAGACAACTCCTACAGACATCAATCTCCTTACTACTATTACTTTAACATTATAATGAAACATTTGTTAGAGTACTCTGAAAACTAAATTTAAAATATCAGTATAGCAGAATATCAGATAACTTATAATCAAATACTAAAACATTTACCTGTCGAATATTTATGGAATTCTTATTGAAAGTGAAATTTCCAAAATATTCAAAAAATTCCTTCAGTAGTATTTCTGCAAGAAAATAAAGTAATAAAAATAAGAAGAAAGTTGAATCCAAAAAGAAATAAAGGAAAAAGAAAAGCACTTACCTAATGTTTCTGTGTTTTCTGAAGGTTTAATTTTATTCAAGTCACGAATAAATGTACAGTTGTTGCCTTCTATTATACATTTATCTTCTGCATCTTAAATAGAAATTAAAATATTTCATATTATACTTCAAAGATATTTCCTACCTCAGAAAATAACTGATTAAAAAAATCAAAGTTTTATATATATATATATACACAGATGTGTGTGTGTGTGTGTCCTATTATTAGTGTTATATATGTTTATAGTTAATAAAATTTAAAAAGATTTGAGACTATACTACAGTAAAATTAACATTATATTTTTTTCTTTTCTTTTTTTTTGAGGGGAGTGGGACTGGGGATTGAATCTATAGGTGTTTTGCCACTAAGCTACATCCCCAGCCCTTTTAACTTATTAATTTTAAGACAGTATCTAAGTTGCTGAGTATCTTGCTAAACTTATTGAGGCTGGCCTCAAATTTGCAATCCTCCTGCCTCAGCCTCCCAAGATGCTGAGATTATAGGATTATATGCATGCACCACTTTGCCCAGGCAGTACTTTAGAGTGTCTAAATTTCAGTTAATTCAGTAAAACAAATTCAATAACATACTAATTTTAGGCATTCAACTGTTCTACTAGTATTATCTAGAGGTAATCATTTCCTAATTATGATATATAGCCATGATGAAATCCCTTGTACACTCTAATCCACCTTCCACTCTATAACATATATAAAAAAAAGAGCAGTTTTTAGAGCAAGCTCACATTATTCAAAAGTCTAATCAATGGCTACCTCCTTAACATTTCATAATTCTAAGGTATTGCTCCTCCATTCTTTCAGTTTCATCCTCCATTGGAGCTTCTCTGTGTTCACTCATCGCCTGGGACTAAAGGGCCACTCTCCTATTCATTACTGTCCCTCTTCCTTCCCTGTCTAGCCGACAACAAAGGTGTGTACAGCATACAACAAGCACATAATAATCTGAATGATTACTGATATTTGATTCTGAATGCCTATATTTATACCAAAGAGAAACTAGAAAGACAAACAAGATTCCTTCAAACTTCTGTCTCCTCTTTTTCTGTGTTTTTTTGTCAATTTCTGTTACTGATGACTTCTCAAACTTTATTCTAGACTCATACTAATTTTAATAGTGAATCTTACATATTCTATTTTTAGGAGACCCGGGTACATGTTTAATTATTTCAAGTGATCTACAATTTGTATTTTTTGTGACACAGCACCACTGGCATATATTGATGGTCTTTCAGCAGTTGCTTCTCTTTTTAGGACTATTTCTCCCATTGAAGCTTTACTAACATTTCAGAAATGTACAACCATTAAAAACTAAGACTATAGAGTGTTGCTTTTCACTGAAAGGATTTCAACAGATATTACTGAAATTTGAAGAAAAAAATTATTCTCCGATTCAAGATAAGGCCATCTTTATTTTTTCAAAACCTCTAAGGCACTCAAATCTAACAAGCAGCTTTCTTGAGTGCTTCACCTTATTTTTTTTTATTTTAATTTTTTTTTTTTTTACTGTAACTAACACCCAAACAACACATATAAGTTCAATCCAATAGCCATTAGCTTCCTGCAGCTGTTAAAATTTCAGTTCTTCAGTCACATTAACCATCTTTCCAGTGCCTAACAGGTCTAGGTGGCTAGGGGCAAACTATTGTACAGCACAGATACAGAACATTTCCACTACCACAGAAGGTTCTGTTGGAAAATGAAATTAGCCCTTCTCTCACACTGCATAAATCTCAACACAAAGTGGATCAAGGACCAAGGCATTAGACAGAGACCCTGTGCCTACTAGGAAAAAAAGTAGGCCCAAATTTCCATCATGTTGGTTTAGGAACTAAATTCTTCAACAAGACTCCTAGAAGTAAAAGAAGTCAAATCAAGAAGCAATAAATGGGATGGTATCAAACTAAAAAGCTTCTTCACAGCAAAAGAAACATTAGGAGAGAGCCTACAGAATGAGAGAAAATCTTTGCAACCTGCACCTCAGACCATTAATCTCCAGGATATATGAAGAACTCAAAAAACTTAACACCAAAAAACCCAAAAAAAAACAAAACCTCAGGAAAAACCCTCAGAGCCCAATTGCCACCACCGGCTTCCACAAGCCTCTCACCCCCACACCAGCCTCTCACCCTCCCACAATCCTCCTGCTCTTGAGGCCGATTGGCTGGGTTGCGTGGGCAGAGCC